GGATAGCCGATGATCGAGCTAGAGCGCGCGCAGAGCGTTCGGCAGGACAGCCATCAGATCATGAGGTCAAGGTGATCTGCGGTCTCCCAAACTGTCTATATGATCGATCATCGATGCTCCAGAGAAACAAGAACAGATTATTATTATTATTATTTTGCGGGGAAACAGGACAGAAATTGACACGCCAATGCAACTGCTTACCATGTTCAGGACATAACAAAGATTCAAGCAAGACCCCGCAGGCACATAAAAGAACAAAAATTCAGAACACAAATAATTTGACTACACTTCTAAAGAAATTGAGTTGCAAGGGGTCAACAGTCCTGCTAAGGTCTTTTCCTCCACATCGACACCGGGTACGTTGGCCAAACTACAAATAAAAGTGAGGAAGTTAGCATCAGTTCACAGTACAATAGTTTCAGAAAACTAACACTTGACCTGTGCATTGTGTCATTGCCGAACACACAACTTATTAGCTATGCTAACATTTGAACTTTCGCCATAGTTATGAAGATTGAAGAACATCCAGAGAATTGATATTTGCCAAACTACATAATGAGTATGAGGAGCATCCACAGAATATATTGACAACAAAAATCAAAAGAAGGAAGCTTCTTGGGGCACATCCGACATAACAAAACCATGGAGCAGATTCAGGTTTTTTAACTTAAGACAACAATATCATAACAGAGAAGGTCGCCCAAGCAAAGCTCGTTCCTGCTACCATTGCAAGTGTAGTTGCATAACCTGTGGATTGCAGATAATTAGATCAGGACAAGCAACATTCAAATGCTTCCTTACAAGAATTCACTACAGTTTATGCATTCTGATGATCAGATCACATCAAGACACCAAAAAGATTTAGGAGAATACTGGAAAAAAACCATTTTCAGAAGAAAGACTCTTGGAACAAAGTACTAAACCGTATAGTATTTTGAAACATGGAAAATTATAGTTTAACCAAGTCCAGCTAGGTTTACACGATGGTTCCAAATGAGTAACAATCACCATTATTAACACGAAAATGAACACCCAAAAAGAAACAGTTTATTTGAATACAACATACAGGACTACAGAATACAGAAGCAACCACCAGCCCTATTTGATTGAATGTAATTTTGTGTGCTCCCCGTTATTTAGAGCTCCACATAACAACACACACTAATATATATAGATTCCTTACCAAATCATAAACTGGTTTAAATTTCCATTTGACGAATCTCCCGTTACTTAAATTTCCATTTGATGAAGCAACGACACAAAAAAACATCCGTAAAATCTGCTATTCCTCGAACATACACTAAAATTGGTGGCACAAAAAAAAGCCATCAGGCAGGATGCAAGTAGGATAAAAATGAAATATGGCCAGAGATAACTAGCTTATGCAAGGAGCATTTGGTGCGAGGCAAACCTGCAATCTGCATCAATTTAGAGAAGGGCTGGCCCAGACTTGGGCCAGTTAGGGCTTCAGCAGAGGGGTGGAGCACTGACTCAGTAAGGCCATTATTTCGTATATATTCAGAGAAGATAATTATCAGAAGAGTATATCAGAAGAGTATTAGAATAACTAATCGCTAGCCAGTGCATGCACACATCAACACATGTTATCCAGTGTATATTCCAGCGAGATGTCATGGAACGAGATATTCGTGCGAGGCAAAGCAAACCTGGAATCTGTATCGCGTTAATGGAAGGGTTAACTGAGACTTGGGCCAGTTGGGGTTTCAGCAGAGGCGTGTAGCACTGTAAGGCCATGGTTGCGACTTGCGAGTATATTCAGAAAACCTGTCAATACAAGATGATTAGATCAGCTAGTCAAGAACCAGCACACCCACACGTTCCAAAGTAGTAATTTTGTCATGATAATTGAGTATCATATTCTGAACTTGACATTCAGGATTTGATCGAGCTACAGTTATTCCACAGCCCCTGTTACCTAAACTTAACACTTGAGGGTTCAGCTTTTAAAACTGAACTTGACACTTGACGATCATAACTGAATACCATGCATAATGTTGAATGATTAACCGGCTTTCTTAGCCCGCACTGCACACACACTTGTGCTTTTTGTTCACCAGTATTGCCGTGTTCAACAAGTTCGTGGCGATAGGAATAGCTCATACCATACGTATAGTCATGAATTGATCTGAAAGTAGCCCTCCTATATCTTTGCCTACTAGTCTATTAATTGTGATTCGATTAGATGGTGACTGCTGAACCGGTCAACGGTTACTCCAATCATCTCTGAAATAAGTACAAGCTAACACTGACACTGCTTGTGCATTGCTGCCATTGTATGCAAATTAGTTGTCTTAACTAGTACAGTAATTTCTCTCTCCGACTTATGCTTTTTGTTTACTTTGAGAAAGGCACAACACAAGAAAACGTGAGATGGATTCCTATTAACCAGTGAAGTAAATTTTCTCTCTGGGGTTGGAAATTGCTCTTAACCAAACTTTTCTATTATTGATTCTCAAGGAAGTTCATCCTACTGTAAACCTAAATTCTGTAATTCATGAGCAACCCCAATGGACTCAGATAAATCAAGGATGTAGCAATAAAAGACCTGAAGGAAATGGAGCATATTAAAATCCATAGTTCTGGTAAAAGGACGCCCTTCCCACACAGCAGGTCAGTAGCCAGGCAAGCTCATAAAGTCATAATTCATATGATAAGTTCAGAGATGCCACTTGCCATCATTCAGTATGGCTATGATGAGAACCATGAATATTGCCAGAAGAACAAACCTGCAACCGTAAAAGACAGCAAGATTAGCGATGGTGAAATACTGTCATGACTACCTACTATTGGATTTGCTGCTGCATTGAAATACTGTCATGATTACCTACTATTGGATTTGCTGCTGCATTCTTACCACTATACGTATGGTGATGCAAACGGCATAAGTTTGCAGCCAAGTAGTACAAATCGTCAGAACTCTTGTAGTAGAAGAAAACAGAGGAACTTCAGCTGAACTTTACCGTGTAATTCATCATGCAGAGCCCAGCACGGTGTCGACGCGGACCTGGCAGCGTCCGTCGTGCCCGACAGCGCATTGCCGTACGTGCCAAACAAAATCCCAACAAAGACAATGAACATTAATGATTGCAGGAAGTGCATAGAAAATCCATAGTTTTGATATATAACTATGTAAGACAAGATTATTTTTTGCATACAACTGTATCTTATTGCACAGCAAACCTTTTCTATTATTAATTCTAAAGGAATTTATTTACCCTAACATCTTAATATTTCAAGGTTTTAACAAAAGAACATATAGTTTAGGAATGAACGGACTACATGAGTATGAGAAGACATTTATACCCTTTACTACATATTGATAAACTTCATTATCAGTTGTTTGACTTTAAAAAACAGAAAAATAAGGAACCTTGGTTGATTAAAGATCCATTATTCCGGTAAATCAAAGATCCATTTATGCGCCAATATAATAATACCA